TGGCTGCAGGTAACCCAGCCTGTGCGTGTGGACTCGGACCTGGTGCCAGAGCAGGGCGAATGGAAGGTGGACAAGGTGGGCAGCTACTACCTCCTTTTTGACAACACCTACAGTTGGACTCGTAACAAACGTGTCTGGTGTCGCGTGGAGACGCGACGTGCTGAACAATCCGCCCTGGTTAATGGACACCGGGAGAGGAAGGAAGGCCGCAGACCGAGCTGTGCGCTCTCAATCCTAGAGCAGTGTGCTGCCGCGGAGCTGCCAAGAGGAACTCCTAAACCAGAAGATGCCATTTTAGCCAGTGAGCAGATAGAGTCGCTGACCGAAGAAGAGGTGATGATTGCCGATGCGGAGGTTGACGAGACTATCCGCGAGGCTCTGCGCGAGCTTACCCAGCCCTCCCCAATGGATGGCTATCGTTGCTGCTACACTGACAGCCTAGATGTAGACCTGTCAGCTCTGCTGCTGGTCTTGGTTCAAGCTCTACCCCTTATCCGGCGTCTGCGACCGCGACAAAAGCAGCGGACCAGGTAGCCTCGCTTTTTTGTTGCGGTACACACCATCGCCTGTTTCATCTCGTACTTCCGACAGTCTTTCTTGGCGGTTTCGCGTCATCCGCGAACATGGGGTCGCAGGCTGCCATCGTCGTTGCTGCTTCTGTCTTGCCGGTGATTCCAGGATTTCTTACCTTTCCTCCGTTTCAACTGTGGATGGATGAGTTTGAGCTTCCAGAACCTGGCTTCATCAATCACCTTACATGAGTATACCCCTGTCTGTTGATCTGAAGCCAGGAATTTGCGATCTTGCAATCATTTTTGTGTCAAGATTTATTTTTGTTACAAAAATAATTATCGATGGATTTATTTGTCTACCGTGTCTTCCCCTCTGCTCTGCATCTCTTTTTCCATCGCGCGTTTGTGATTCCGGTGCCGTTTTCATTACGGATCGGTAGGGCTTTCTTGTGAGGCCGCAAAGTGGTACAAGAAGTTGCTCTAAAAGTTTTCTTGGTCTATAGGCTTCCTTCCTTAACCAATAAGGTTGCCCTATTCGCTTTCTTAGTCTGCAGGCTTCCCTTTCACCAACATTTCTTCAGTTAAGTAAAACATTTAAAGGCGTCTTTAATTTCTTTCTATTTGTTCATCTTCCTTCATGCAAAAGGCCTCTGGTTTACCTCACCTATAAGTCCCTTTTACCACGAACTCATTAGGAAACTTGAACGGATGTTTTGAATGCGTTCCGGTTCACCATCGGCTTGTTAGTCGTCTCGTCGTTTAGTCCTCTGCCTGTTGCTCAGTTGTCTGCTTGCGGCAGAATACCAATGTACCAAAGTCATTGCACATTCGTCCAAGTTTTATAACTTCACTGCTTCCATGCCACTTTTGTTAAAAAACCGCTTTTCTACGGGAAAAACAGCGCTTAGCTATCTAAGTCCAACTCAAGTAAGATAACAGACATCTGTAAACC